TTCACTCGCCTCAATAGGATGAATCTTTTGTATGTCTCTCCGCAAGCGGCGCTTCCCCCATATACCTCTCCCTTCCCCCATGACACGAAACTGCTGCATGCAACAGAATCACTTGGAGAGTCTCACGTGTTACTGATTGTTCTTTGATGTGCGTCGTTTGACCATAGTTACAGCTTCTCTTGCCTCATGCTGGTTGCCTCCTATGTGTGTGTGCATGTGTGTGTGTGTGCGTGTGTGTGCGTGTATGCGTGTGCGTGTGTGTGTGCATATGTGAGTGCGTGCGTGTGTGTGAGTGCACACGTGCACAGGCTCCACATGACAGAGACATTTCTTCCAACAATCTCAGCTCAGGTCTTGACGTGGTGGCTCAGATGACATGGCTCCAAGACATGTGAGTGTTCTCCCCGCTTCACCCTCACCTTGCTTTCCATCACTTCCCTTTTCCCACTTTGGCTCCCTGCAACATCCGAGCTAAGACACTCTCTCCAATCCAATGCTGGCTGTGCAGATCGATCAATGACAACAACTTCTCTGGTGTGCTTCCAGCATCGTTCACAGCAATCAGTGGCATCACAAACTTGTGAGACCACTCGAGCCACCTCTCACCTCATCTAAGCTACAACCCCTTTCACTGCACCTAATCGGGTTGATGGGATGCAACAGCAGTAAGCGTTGTGACTGCCCTTCACCTGAGTACTTATGTGCCAGCGCTTCTTTTATCGATTCTTGTATTCTTGTATTCAAATTCATGGTGGATAAACGCTTGTTGTGTGCACAGATGTATGCACTTGTACACTTTCTATCTTCACAGTTTGTTTCCTGCGTCCATGTAATGTACAAGTGCCAGAGCACGTATGCAGTGGCCTATGCATAAGCAAAAGAATGTGTGCTTTCCCATGTATTTGTTTTACTATTTCCCCATCACGCCCCGTATATTGGGTCTCATTCAGGGTTGTTTACAACAACCATTTCACTGGAACCTTCCCAGATTTCGTTATGCGCCAGAAGGACCTCTTTATCCTGTAAGGCATTCACTCGTAAACTTGAGCACAAGGGATTTGCGCTGATGGAACAAATGCTTCTATCTCTTCCACTGAAACAACTATTTGACACAGTTATTTGAACTAGACATGAGCAAAGCGGCGAGCGAAACAAAGTACCAATCCGAATTGGTTTGCTTCGAGATTGGCCTGCACTTGAAGGTTGGTTTTCAACTGAACTGCACTTGAAGGTTGGTTTTCAACTGAACTGCACTAAAGAGCCTATGCGCGACCGATTTTTGAGAATTCTTGAAAATCGCTCATGAAGAGCCCTACTATTCATGTAATGCATCCATGCGTGACCTCGAATAAAGGCGGGTTTCATTGATGAAACTACTGCTGCCATTTCTTGCAGTACTTCCTGAAAAAACTACCTGAAATACTCCAATGGAAATCGCAATCTAAATCGTCATGGTAAAAACTTGGCCAACAACAGTTTCACAGGGACCATTCCCCGTGAATTGACCAAGCTTGTCAACCTAGCCCACATGTTAGTTGCTCTGCTGCAAAGTGTAGTGGAATGGGACATGAACGAAAGAAATAATATCGCCAAGTAGGGCAATGACTTGGGGTTGAGGACCTGCTAGCAAATATGCCATGCTGTAGCCTTGTGTGAACATATATAAGGTCACTTTGAGGCTCTTGGTGCCATTGTGCAGATATCTCAATAACAACAATTTTTATGGAACAATCCCATCCGGCCTGCTTCAGCTACCCATTTTGTACACGCTGTAAGCAGCTCCAACACACCTTGTTTAAGAAGATCCTATTCTTAAGACGTCTCAAATATCTACTTGTTTCACGCAGCTCCAACACACCTGTTTCAGAAGTTCCTATTCTTCCACCTTCAAGTCTTCAGAGTGACGGTCTGAGTACGTCCGATTTAAGGTCTGAGTACGTCCGAGTGAATGTCTGAGTACGTCGGAGTGAAGGTCTGAGTACTTCCGAGTGAAAGGTCTGAGTACGTCCGAGTGAAGGTCTGAGTACTTCCGAGTGAAGGTTTGAGTACTTCCGAGTGAAGGTCTGACTACTTCCGAGTGAAGGTCTGAGTACTTCCGAGTGAAGGTCTGAGTACTTTCAAGTTAAGGTCTGAGTACTTCCGAGTGAAGGTCTAAGTACTTCCGATTGAAGGTCTGAGTGGTTGGAGTACATCACTCTGCTAAAAAAACTTTTGAGTCGACTCAAAAGTCAAGGTCCGAGTACTTCCGAGTACATGCCTATGTTCGGAAACAGTATGAGTTGCAAGAACTCTTATCCACTGCCAAACATCCCTGGGTTCGACTCAAGCTCTGAGAACTCTGCTCCACTGCCAAACACCAAGCCAGGACGCCGCTTGCTACTTGCTTTGGGATGTGTCTCCCTCCCTTCATCTCCCAAGTTTTCATTTTTCCACCCCAGGCTCGTTGTCAGTCTCGTAGAGAGGCCACAATGCATTCATGTGCTCTGCTTTGGAAAAATCCCAAGGTTATTAACTGCTACATCCAGCCTTCTCTTTGATTCTCCCTTTTCGAGCACAGGGATGTCTCTAACAGCTCTATTTCAGGGGAGATCCCACGGACTTTCAGGGTCACACCTTCTCTTCACATGCTGTAAGAAGTTGAACTACGGTGTGCTGCCGTGCCGCCACAGCGTGTGCTGCCACCATTGTTTTTACCTGGTGCCACCCTTTCTATTCATGCTTAGCTTTCATAGCCATGGAATCATCGATCTCTCCCCTTGCATTGTACAGTAGCCTGGGAGGAAATGGCCTGACGGGCTCCTTACCAAACTTCTCACACTGGAAAGTCAGCTGTGAACAGATGTAAGCCTCTCCACGCCTTCTTCCCCCCTGTCTGTTCCACTCTCAACATGGCTTGCTCAATCTCTATTTTTAGCACCATGGGTTTTGTATACCATTGCATTGCACCCAAATTTAGCAGTTGTGTTCATCTCGCTCGCATGGATCTAGTTGCTGCCTCGCTTGTGCTGTCTTGTGGGTCCGAGATCTCAGCAGCAACAACTTCACAGGGTCGATTCCCGACTCCATCTCCACCCTCATTGGCATGTGAGACTTCTCTTCTCTTCTCTTCTCTCCTTGTGTGCCACAAAGAGCTCTGTGCTCATGAAGAAGGGCAGCAGTAGGCAAGGTCGCCTTTAGCAAAGGGACGATAGTTAACTAGTGAAAAAAGTAACCATCGAAAAAATCGATTAAGATCCGGACGTACAACTCAGTTCAAACTCTAGATGAAAGCAAAAAGCCGTGAGACTTCTCTTCTCTTCTCTTCTTGTGTGCCACAAAGAGCCGTTATGCGTGTCGTGCCAACAAGCTGCCACGTGAGCACATATCCGTGAAGTGAAGCTATTCCCATCTGAACAAGGTGGGATGTCGTGTACAAAAGTCACCATCGAGCCTTTGCAGTGGCACGCAGCCTAGGGCACGAGAAAGTTAGCAGTGGCAGCCTATGGCAGGAGAAAGGTAGCAGTGGCAGCCTATGTACAAACGCAGCTACATACGCTTAATTTGCACTTCCAGCCAATGTACCCCGTTGCTATCCCCTGCTCTGCAGTTTTCTCAACAACAACCAGCTGACTGGCACCATCCCTTCAGCCATCTTCACCATGAGGAATCTGACATACCTGTAAGCCTCATGGGTATAGGGATCCCCTTTCTAAGTGCCCATCACATGTTAAAGCCTTTGCCCACAGGTGCTTTTCTGCACCAGCCTGCACTACTATTCTTGCATACGCTGCTTCTCATTGGAATGTCTCCCTGCCATTGCTGCTATTGCCCGTCAGCTATTTGGCCAACAACCATCTGACTGGGAGTCTGCCAGATGCCATCAGCAAATTGGAGAACCTTGAACAGATGTGAGGGTGCTATGTGCCTTCCTCCTCTACACATCTCAAGAATGGTGGCAGCTTACGAAACAACATTGGCATCACCAGCGCAAGCTTGTAGTACATCGGTTCTATAAGAGACCTGGTAAACTTCCTCACCATGAAATGACCACAGGAGATCATAACACGCAAACATCACCCGTGCCGTCCCCACTCCACCCCCTTCTCTTCATGCAATGGTTGGCGCCTTTGATCATGCAAATGCTCTGCCTGCCCCCCAGCTGGTTGGACAACAACGAGATTGAAGGCCCTCTGCCAACTGGCCTATGCTCGCTGCACTGGCTGTGGCGCTTGTGAGTGGCTGTTATACACATGATTGATTGTTTTGAGGAATTTGCCAGCTGATACTTACTGCTTTTAGACCATAGCTATTTGAACGAGGGTTGCATACTTACTGCTTTCATGAGTTTATAAATCGTTGGAACATAGGAAGTAGTTCCTTTTTGTGTGTTTCTTTCTGTATGGGTGTGTGGCTCACGGCGTGGCATGGTGTGTGCTGTGCTGCTGGCAGCATGGTCAGCACCAACTACCTCTATGAACCCCTACCAGACTGCTACTTTGACAAGTGCATCAGCCAAATGTGAGCCTACCGTGCATACAGGGTGTTTTGAGGATTCTCAAAAACACCCTGCCTACTCTTCATACTCTATTCTCGGTGCCATTCTTGACAGCTCGCACCCTCAACATAGGCATTGCACCCGAATACATGAGTGTTATGCCCACCAGTGCGCACCCTCAAAATTCTTATCTGCTAAGACGGCCTCTGACTACCCTCCGGCCACTCAAAATCACCTCCTACCCTCCGTGTTCCCCGGCGCTCCCCAAAGTGATGTGAGTGGCAACAGCCTGTATGGGAACATCAACCGCGACTTTGAGAACATGGTCGCAGATGGCAACGCCCTCATCAACTTGGCTCACAACTTCTACTTTGGAGATGCCGTGCTCTATGCTGCCGGCTGCAAGGTCTGCCCCACGGAGGTCAGCGAGCCCAACAACCTGGACATATGGGACACCTCTCTTATATATCAAGACTTTGGTGGCAGGTGCAGCAATCCTGCGACCCATCTGCTTGATAATAACCCTATGGTGCAGTCGGGCAAGACAACAAGGGTGATTCTGTCAGGCAACTGCCTGACCCTCAGCCCAAGGACAAAGTGCACGTCCAAGGGCACTGAGCACAGCGCAACAGCCTGCCAGGCGTTCTGCAGCATCACGGACAATGGCCCGTGTGACGGCCATGGGGCGTGTGTGCCGGCTACCCCCACTTCCCCCTCTTACTTCACGTGCATCTGTGATGCGGGGTACACCACTGTCGACTCGGGCAACGACTCCTCCACATGCGCAATTGTCCACTCCACCACCAACACTGGTAACCCTTGCTTCATTCTTACAGCTCCATATTTCATTCCTATCTTCTGCACTAGTATCCATGTTTCATGAGACTACTTCTATACACGCGTTTATCACTGCCCCATGTTCATTCCTTGGCAGTGTCGTCTCTGTCCACGGGCGCCATAGTGGGCATTGTTGTGGGCTGCTTTGCTGGCTTCACGTTGCTGGCTGCGGTGGTCGCATGGCTGCTGTGGCCCCGCGGACCAAGTGAGCCCCTCAACCCATTCCATATCCCCCCTTGCTGCACCTATTTCCTGGCTTCCTTCCTTGCTCCCCACCTCTCCCAATTTCCATGCCTCTCCTCTGCCCTCATGCTCGACTCTCCTCTGCCCTCATGCTCTCCTCTCCTCTGCCCTCATGCTCTCCTCTCCTCTACCCTCATGCTCTCCTCTCCTCTGCCCTCATGCTCTCCTCTCCTCTGCCCTCATGCTCTCCTCTCCTCTGCCCTCATGCTCTCCTCTCCTCTGCCCTCATGCCCGGCTCTCCTCTGCCCTCATGCTCTCCTCTCCTCTCCCCTCATGCTCTCCTCTCTTCTGCCCTCATGCTCTCCTTTCCTCTGCCCTCATGCCCGGCTCTCTTCTGCCCTCATGCTCTCCTCTCCTCTGCCCTCATTCTCTCCTCTCCTCTGCCCTCATGCTCTCCTCTCCTCTGCCCTCATTCTCTCCTCTCCTCTGCCCTCATGCTCTCCTCTCCTCTGCCCTCATGCCCGGCTCTACTCTGCCCTCATGCTCTGTCCACGCATCTACACCCTTAGTCCCTCACACCTCTGGTCTGGGATTTTTCTGTGCGCAGAGAAGTGGGAGGGTTTGGATGTGTGCGAGCAGTTCTCACTGCAGCAGATGCTGAAGGCCACCAGCAACTGGTCGGAGGACAATGTGTTGGGCAAGGGTGGCTTTGGCATTGTCTACAAAGGCTGCTCGCCTCAGGGCCAGCTGTGGGCCATCAAGCGATCCACCATCATGACCAACGACTTTGAAACAGAGGTGAGGCGCCATCATGACAACACCGTTGAAACGGAGGCGAGGCATGCCTCTAGTTCCCTGTGTACGACACGGCACTCTCTGCGTCCCAAAATGTTGACCTGCAAACGCATGTCTCTCCTTTTCATGCCAATGTGCATCTGCCTACGTGTTGCAGGTGCAAGCCATGGCCTCTCTCCACCACACACACCTCGTGCGCCTGCTGGGCTTCTGCCTGGACCAGAACGTGGAGACGGGCAAGCAGGAGCAGATCCTCATGTACGAGTTCATAGGCAACAGAGACCTCAAGTACCATATCCACAAGACCAAGCGTGAGTCAAACTAGCACAATTGCTAAACCCTTTCTTCTTCTTCTTCTTCTTCTTCTTCTTCTTCTTCTTCTTCTTCTTCTTCTTCTTCTTCTTCTTCTTCTTCTTCTTCTTCTTCTTCTTCTTCTTCTTCTTCTTCTTCTTCTTCTTCTTCTTCTACTTCTTCTTCTTCTTCTTCTTCTTCTTCTTCCTTCCTTCCTTCCTTCCTTCCTTCCTTCCTTTCTTCCTTTCTTCCTTCCTTCCTTCCTTCCTTCCTTCCTTCCTTCCTTCCTTCCTTCCTTCCTTCCTTCCTTCCCCTCTTTTTTTTCCTTTTTGTTTTTTATTTTCCCTGTAAATTACACAACACCTCCACTCATAATATCGTGTGTTCTGCATTTTTATTAATTGTTGTATGACCCAGGTCCGCTCTCGTTTCGCCAGAGGTTGCGCCTGGCACAGGGAGCAGCAGAGGGCCTGGCATACCTGCACGGGTTTGACACACCCATCGTTCACCGCGACATCAAGCCAGCCAACATCCTTGTGACAGCAGACATGCAAGCCAAGGTGGCTGACTTTGGGCTGCTCAAGCGCCTCACTCATGGCGATGCTGATGTCACACGAGTGGCTGGCACTCCAGGCTATGTGGATTCGGACTACAGCCGCACCCACGTCATCACTGTCAAGAGTGATGTGTTCAGGTCTGCATGCTTGTTCCCTTGGACAACAGTATTGTGCTCCTCTGGCTTTTTGTTACCATTCCAGGTTATGCCTTGTATTGCTATCTCTACTGCTGTGCATGCTGGCTCCTTAGTGCAGCACAATGAACTTGTGCAAAGCCTTTTTTTACTCCCCTGGCTATGTTGAGTTCTTGCACCTTGTTTTGCTATCTCTACATCCGTCCATTTCTTTGTGAGCCTTTGCAAATGGATGATGCTTGCAGCTTTGGAATTGTGCTTCTTGAGCTGCTGAGTGGCAAGTCACCCCTAGTCGACGAAAAAACACATATAAAAAAATGGGTATGCACATCAAGTATGAAACCCTTTCTTTGTTTTGGCTTAAGACTTGGAAAGTTGCATATAAGATAATGGGTATGCTGATAAGGTCTAAAACTCGTCTCTGACTTCATTACTTTTGGACGCACGTTCATCATGGGGTCCCTTTTATGCTGCCTTTCACTGCCTTTCCTTGTTGCCGCCTTTCACTCCCTTTCCTTGTTTCTGTGCTGCCTTTCACTGCTTTTCCTTGTTGCCATTCTGCCTTTCTCTGCCTCTTCTTGTTGCCGTGCTGCCTTTCACTGCTATTCCTAGTTGTCATGCTGCCTTTCACTGCCTTTCCTTGTTTCTGTGCTGCCTTTCACTGCCTTTCCTAGTTGCCATGCTGCCTTTCACTCCCTTTCCTTGTTGCCGTGCTGCCTTTCACTGCTATTCCTAGTTGTCATGCTGCCTTTCACTGCCTTTCCTTGTTTCCGTGCTGCCTTTTTCTGCCTTTCCTAGTTGCCATGGTGCCTTTCACTCCCTTTCCTTGTTTCCGTGCTGCCTTTCACTGCTTTTCCTTGTTGCCATTCTGCCTTTCACTGCCTTTCTAGTTGCCATGCTGCCTTTCTCTGCCTTTTCTTGTTGCCGTGCTGCCTTTCACTGCTATTCCTAGTTGTCATGCTGACTTTCACTGCCTTTCCTTGTTTCCGTGCTGCCACTCACTGCCTTTCCTAGTTGCCATGCTGCCTTTCACTCCCTTTCCTTGTTTTCGTGTAGCCTTTCACTGCTCTTCGTTGTTGCCATTCTGCCTTTCACTGCCTTTTCTAGTTGCCATGCTCCCTTTCTATGCCTTCTCTTGTTGCCGTGCTGCCTTTCACTGCTATTCCTAGTTGTCATGCTGCCTGTCACTGCCTTGTTTCCGTGCTGCCTTTCCCTGCGTTTCCTAGTTTTCATGCTGCCTTTCACTCCCTTTCCTTGTTTCCGTGCTGCCTTTCATTGCTTTTCCTTGTTGTCATGCTGGCCTGCACTGCCTTTCCTTGCTATCATGCTGCCTTTCACTGCCTTTCCTTGTTTTCCTGCTAACTTCCACCTCCCTTGCTTCTTGTCATGCTGCTTTGCATTGTCTCGCCAATCATCATCCATGCGTGCACATTCCCCTCCAGGCAATGAAGCTGGTGGAGGTGTATGAGCTAGAGGAGCTGAAGGACAGCAAGATGCCGGTGGCAAGTGAGGAGGCCATAGTGGACTTTGCAGATCTGGCTTTGGACTGCATCAAGTCTCCCGGCACACGGCGACCCACCATGAAGGATGTGGCATACCGCCTCAGTGCCCTCATTGCCAAGCACTGTCCCAACAAGGAGGATGAGTGGGAGAATGTCGCGGAGGAAGACGGTGCAAGCAACGTGGATACCGGTACATCCTCAAGGGATGTTTGTGCTGTGCCGTTGGGAGATCGTGGGAGGGAGTCTGAGAGGTCTTATGGCTCACAGTCGGGTGTGAGCTCATTGTTGGGCTCAGGAGTTGGGTGCAACTGAAGACAACCAAAGGGCGTTGAACTTGCTCATAGTGTCTGTATGTGGGCCATGCAACTTGAGACTTAGGGCGTGTTCCTACCCTCTTATCAGGCAAACCTCTTGTCAGCCTTGCCTGGTAAAAGTAGCGACGGTTTTTGGGTTTAGGGAATTTTCAGGGGGAAAAGTAGCAAGCTTGATAAGAGGTAGCCCTGATAAGGGGCCGTAGGAACACGCCCTTAGTGCAAGTAGCAGTACTGCCATACACTAGAGTGTTACGTACAGGGCGATGCGATAAGAAAACTTGGGAGTTTGTTTGTGTTTAACTTGGGTGCAATAAACCCCAAGCTCGAGATACCAGTTACAGGGGAGACTCAAGACAACCTCAAGCATTTATCAGTATAGAATGGGAGACGCAAGCAGTGAAGCCCACGGGGGAATCTACAACCTCAGCTGACAAATTTAAAAGCGTAGGAAATGCTGGCAAGCAGCTTGAAAATCACTCAAAGATAGCACCATGCGTGAGCTGAAAGAGCAAGCTATATCTGTCTTCAATGACTGATACTAGAGTGCTGCAAAGGGAAATGCCATGACAACCAGCCAAGATGGGTGCTAGAGAATGGATTATGGAATAGTCCGTTGGCTTCATTGAGAGAGCTGTGGACTTGACACTTGCATTCACAACAGTTTGAATGCTCGCTGGCTACTTCTCATGCCAGTGGATGGACGGAACGACTCTGGCTTACTGCCTGACAGAAGCAGTTAGCTGCACTTGTGACGCAAGTCAGCTCGGGAATGCCAGCAACTTGCCAAACTGCGCAACAGGAAGTTTGCATCTAAAGCAGCTCGGAATGTTTGTGAAGCAACAGTTTGCCATCACTGCCGTATCACCATTGTCATCATCCTATCAGTTATCACCACATGCCATCTTGTGACCACGGTCAGTTGTTTAGGATGAAAATCTCCGCGTCTTGCCCTCTGCAGACACACATAGCAGCAGCAGCAGAAGCAGTGCAAGGGACAGGCAAAAGAGTGAGCAGCAGCGGCAGCGGAGCACACAGCTTCTGCCACACAGGCTTGAGCAGCATCCAGTAGACACGTTCACAACCACCCCTGCCCACTACCCATGGGACTTCCAGAACATGGCTGCAGATGAGCATGTCCCGCTCTTTGCGCCGGGGCACCCCCTCCGCCTTCCCCACTGCCATCGCCCTCTGTTTCATGCCCACTGCCCACTATCCACTGCTCCCCTGCTGCCTGCCCCCTGCAACCTGCCTCCTGCCCCCTGCCCCCTGCCCTCTGCCCTTTGCCCACTACTCACAGAGCGTGTGTGCAGATGAGCAGGCCTCTGTTCCTGCGCCGGTGCACCCCCTCCTGTTGCTCTATACGTCTTCTTGGCTGTGTCTTGCCTCGACGCAGCACCCGCTCATGGCCTGCTTCCCCTCCGCTGCTTCCCTTCTGCCCACTTCTCCCCTCTCTTCTTCTGTCACCCCCATTCACTGCTAGCTACCGTGCCCTCATCCCCCTCTCCTGCCTCGGGTGATAGATAAGAAGGTGCAGGGTGGGTGGCTGCTGTTGAGTGGGTGTAGGATAGGTGCTTGCCCAGCCGTTCCTCACATCCCAACCACCATCCCTCGCCTTTCATTATCCCTTGTTACTATATTCATCTTTCTGCATTCATCGTCCTCTCCTTTCACAGAAGTTGCAAGCTGCCCTCTCAAACCTATCCAGCTCCCACCACACTCAACCTTGCTGTCCCCAACAGGCTTTTCAACCCCGCTCAAGACCAATATCAACAGGCTTTTCAACCCCGCTTACCTACTGGCCCTTGGAGGTTTCTCCACCACTGTGCTCTGCCTCTTCTGGCCCTTCATCATCCTCGCCTTCCGCAACAGCAAGAACACCCCTTCGCTCCACAAGATCTGTACGAGTCACACGCGCGTTTGGCAGAGGCGCATTTGTGTTGGTTGAAACATGATTTAGGCAGTGCATTTCAATCTTGAAAAAGGAACACAGCATACGTGCAAATGAGGTCAGCAGTTGAATTCTCCGCTTCTACAAAGAGCTGCGATAGAATGTTAACTCCCACGAAGAGTATCAATGCACACTGTCACCGTGAAACAAGCTTGTGTTCTGTTCTGCACTTCAGACAATCGTCACAAGCATCAGAGAAGGAGACGAGGACAAGAGATCAGTCACACTAACCGCACTGCACACTATCTGCACTGCACACTATCTGCACTGCACAGTATCTACACTGCTCATACTCCGTTGATTATTCTTGTGGAACGGTTGAAAAGGCCTGGGTGGGCTGAGAAATCTAGGGTGGGATGAAAAGGCCTGGATGGGATGAAACATTTCTACGTTTGTTATTAAGGCAGAGGTTTGCTGAAACGACCTGGGTGGGTTGAAAAGGCCTACGTGAGATGAAAACAAATGGGTGGGTTGAAAGGGCATTGGTGGGATGAAAAGCCATGGGTGGGATGATGACGCATGGGTGGGATGAAAAGGCATGGGTGGGTTGAAGGGATGGGTGTGATGAAAAGGGATGGGTGGGTTGAAAGGTCATGGGCAATCAGTGGGTTGAATTGGAAAGGGGGTGGGATGGAAACGCATGGGTGGGATGAAAACGCATGGGTGGAATGAAAGGCATGGGTGGGATGAAAAGGAATGGGTGGTATGAAAAGCCATGGGTGGGATGGAAAGACATGGGTGGTATGAAAATCAATGGGTGGGATGGAAAGGCATGGGTGGGATGGAAATGCATGGTTGGGATGAAAAGGCATGGGTGAGATGAAAAGGCATGGATGGGATGAAAATGCATGGGTGAGACGAAAAGCCATGGGTGGGATGGAAAATGCAGCAGCAGAGGAAAGGGGCAGACAAGACAGTGGGAGTTGGAGGCTACGTGGAGGAGATGATTTATGTTGTTGTTGTTGAGCCATAAAAACAGGAGTGCATGGAAAACAGGAGTGACAAGAGTGGGTGGGACCATGAACAAGCTGGGGAAAATGACATGTATGGGGGGTATTAATGGAGTGGGGATACGAGAGGAGTGATTGGTATGACAGGAGTGGGTGGTATGAGGGGAATTGGGGAAATGCGAGGCGCGGAGTCAATGAAAGGGTTGGGGGTTATGACAAGAGTGGGGTGCAAATAAAGCTTGGGGGATGGGAGGAAATGGGGACGAGGAGTGGGGGGTATGAGAGGATTGAAGGGGTATGAAAGGAGAGGGGGGTATGAGAGGAGTGGCGGAAATGAGAAATTTGGGGGCTATGAGAGGCTCATGAGTCCGCTAGGTGGGGGTGATGGTATGGGGGCACCTGCCACTGATCTGCCACTGACCTACCACTGACCTGCCACTAATCTGCCACTGACCTGCCACTGACCTGCCACTGATCTGCCACTGACCGGCCACTGACCTGCCACTGATCTGCCACTGACGTGCCACTGACCTGCCACTGATCTGCCACTGACTTGCCATTGATCTGCCACTGACCTACCACTGATCTGCCACTGACCTGCCACTGATATGGCACTGACCTGCCACTGACCTGCCACTGACCTGCCACTGACCTGCCACTGATCTGCTACTGATTTGCCACTGACCTGCCACTGACCTGCCACTGATCTGCTGTTAGAGACTAAGGACGGAGTCTATGAAGATTAGGAGCCAAAATATCTCAAAATCGTTGGGCCTAGTTTCTGGACAGAAACATCGAGTTCACAAGAAACGCCGTCGACAAAAAGAGCACCGTCAAAACTTCACCAAACTCAAATGTTGTAGCCCTAGTCTGTGGCTACAATTCCCAATTCGAATCGTACGATAAAGTGAAGTATTTCTTGAGTTATGAATTTCGGCGCACTAGGGGGTAAGCTGCCTTAGAATCTTAACTCAATCACATTAGTCTCACAAGTTCACAATTACTACACAAGAGAGTTAGAGTGGCAATAAACCAGGTGGGATGGGATGAGGAGGACGAGAGGGAAGGTCCCAAGAGAGTCCCCAACCAAGGAAGCCCCATGCCACACAATTCCCCTCTCCATAGGCAACCCCACTTTCACTTTTGTCACTTTCCCAATCCATGCCATCCACCTTGCCCAACTTGGCCACACTTGCCAACCTGGTTTGGCTCCTCCCAACCACTTGGCAGCATCTACAGTGATGTTGACGAATTTCCCAACCCCCAAAAGTCTGTACCCCTTATGGAGTCAACCCCACAACTTCCCATAGTCACCACAGCCAAATATCAAAAGCATACGAACTTCCAACGTTCGTAACTTTCTTGTTCGTGCTCCGATTGAAGCGATACTTGATTCGTCGGAAAGCTCTTGAGCAGAGGAGTCACTTCAGATATCTGCTAAAGCCAAATAACATTCACACACACTCAGAAAATCTAAACCACATCAAACGCAAATTCTTGCACACGCTTACACCACGCATGCAACGCACAAACATGTGATGGGAGGCAGACAGACGTGAATGCAAATGATAGCATCACATAACATCTGCCACTGACCTGCCACTGATCTGCCACTGATCTGGCACTGACCTGCCACTGACCTGCCACTGATCTACCACTTACCTGCCACTGACCTGCCACTGATCTGCCACTGACCTGCCACTGACATGCCACTAATCTGCCTCTGACCTCCCACTGATCTGCCACTGACCTGCCACTGATCTGCCACTGACCTGCCACTGATCTACCACTGACCTTCCACTGACCTGCCACTGACCTGCCACTGATCTACCACTGATCTGCCACTGACCTCCCACTGACCTGCCACTGAAATGCTCCTGATCCACGGGTGACCCACGTTCCCCTCACCACCCACATTCCCCTCACCACCCATGTTCCTCTCACCACCCATGTTCCCCTCACCACCTATGTTCCCCTCACCACCCATGTTCTTCTCACTACCCAGTAGTGACCACTACTAGTGATTCATTATAGCCCACCTCCTTCCTCGCACCACGCACCTCGTTTTGCCCAACAAACCACCTTTCCCCCTGCTCATCCGCAAGGAAGAAAACTGCTTTACGGGAGTACCCAGCATCCCCCTCTCGCAGGTTACCCACAGGTTGCCCCAAGGAACGCACCTCCTTCTTCCTCCGCTGGGGAACCGAGCAGCCACAAGTGCACTGAGCAGGCCCGAATAGCCCTTAAGGGCAGAGAGAATGGGGGAGAAGTCAAGAAACAGGTGCGGGGCTGGTGGAGGGGGGGCGGTGGGTTGGTGATGGAAGGGGGAGGAGGCAGGGTGGATGGAGGAAGCAGAGAGGGGGAAAGGGAGAAGGGAAAGGAGCAGAGTCCTTTGAAGTTGATGCGGAAGACAATGTGAGTGTGGGTGGGGGGGGGGGGGGGGGTGGGTGGGGGAGGAGGGAAGGGAAAGCTGGAAGAGGAGGGAGAAACAGGGAAAGGAAGGGAGGGTCCCAAGCCTTTGAGAGGGTACGAAAAATGGTGTACAAAGGTGCCAAATAGTTCTGTAAGGGCGGGAGTCAGTGCAGTGGGCCATGCTTGAGTCAGGTTGATAATTTTGGATTCGCACAACCTCAAGTGCAAAATAGAGCTGCAAACCATATCAGTACTAGAAGCTGAGAGAAGAAGAAGCGTGAGTGCAGCAGGGATGAAGTTAGGTAGGTGTTTGGGAGAGGGAGTTGGAAGAGAGGGGGAGCAGTTCAGGGGAAATCATTACGTTTCCGGCAGTGGCGCCGCTGGCGGTGGTGCAGCTGCGGGTGCGATCATCGGCCGGATTGACACCCGCGGTGATGCCCCCACTCCACTCGCACACCGCAGGACCAGCCACTCCAATCAGACCGTGTGAATTCAACGGGGACGAGTCCCGAGACGGGTCATGACAGAGCCTGGCACCGTGGATACCGGGAACGGGAGGGAAAGGGGTTAGGGGGGGGGGGGTCGGGGAGGGGGGAGGGGAGGAGGGTAAGGGGAAAGGGAGGAGGTAAGGGGAGGGTGTGGAGATAAAGGAACGGAGAGAGGGCAAGGTTATTATGAGGTAAGGGGAGGGGCAGTGGGTAAGGGAGTTGGAGGAGGCAAGTGAAAGGTTAGCGTGTAAGTGGAAAAAGAGGGCGTAAGGGGAGGGTTCACAATGGCCTTGCGGTGGTGCCTTGGCAAACAGTGTGGCTGTGCGAGTGGGTGCAAGACGGCATGGAAACAGCAAGCAGGAGTAACCCTACAGGGGGATAAGGAAGTTGGAGGGCCGAGAGAAGGAGAAGAGGAGCGGTTTGAAACCTGCTGCACCCTACCCCTGAGTGTTACATTATGTGGGTGTAGTGGCTCCATGATTCCCAATGAGAATGTCCTGCATGCCGTTGTAACGAGGTGAACTTTGAGACGACTAAAAGCAAGCTCGTTACTGAGAAGAAACGAGAATGAATGAACTATGAATGAACTGAGTACAAGTACTAACCCTAATTGGGTTGTACCCCTTATGGGCTACCCCACTATAGCCTACACAATAAGCACAAGCTATATGTTCTGACACAC